GCGAGAGAGAGAGAGAGAGAGAGAGAGAGAGAGAGAGAGAGAGAGAACGGCGCCCACGGCGCCGCGGCCCTTTCTGCGGCGGCCGTTTCGGCAGGACGATCACGCGCGGCCACCCGTCCAACTTCGCCGGCTAATCAGAAAAATCCACACTCCGCCGAGCTTATTGAATTGTCTTGGCCCGGGCCTTGGGATCCACCCCGCCGTCTCGGCCTCGCCACGTCCTGTCGCGCCAGGAAGAAAAGACGATCCCCCTGCAATTCCCCCGGTCAGACTTCCCTCCACGTCTCCTCTTTCTCTCACCTTCCGTCCATCTATCTTATCGGCTTTTATCAATTATCCCGTCGATCCTATCAACTCATCGATATACTCTAATCAACTTTTCGACTCTCTTTTCGTCGTCGCGGCGTGCCGTGACTTTTTCCCGTCGTATTCGTCGTATTCGTCGTCGTCGTCGTATTCATCGTAGAACGCGTCTCCGAAATTTTCAAGTGAAATTACGAAGCACCCTTTATAGCGTCCGCTACTACCGGGTTAATGCGGTAGGAAATTGCAGCCTGGGAAACCTCTCGAAATACTCGGCTGACAACGAGCGCCTCGCATTAAATCCGGTATAGCGGTATAATACTCCCGCGACGGCGACGCGCGCGTAACGCAAGTTAGAGTTCTCGAATTTTTTTACTAATATCGCGATAATGACCCGCCACAACAATGGCCCCGCTTAATTAGGGAACTTTTGTGCATTCACGCGCCCGCGCTCGCGCGCGCGCAATTAGTCGCTCTAACGGACTGACGTAAACTAGCTATTTCGCGCGATGTTTCGCGATATTAAAGTGTAGTGCCTCGGTGGAGCACTCGGTAAAAGCTTCAATTTTCAGAGGAAAATTTAACTCGGACAAAAATTCTGCACGATGACGATGGCGTTTCGAAGATCCGAAATTTGCTCAATTTTTTCGAGAATACACGTGCACAAACATTTTCAAACAAAATGTACGATGGATTTTCTCGCTCTGCTCTGGCTCTGCGCGATCTAAGTCTTTTTAAAATTTAGATAAGTTCCGAAAGTGATGAGAACGCGATCTCTACCGCCGGTCGAGATATATAAGAGTCACATTTAAATTCCCTTATCCTCGCATTTAAATGTTCTCGCGACGAGATAAGTTGGTTTAAAAATGTAATTATATTTAGTCGAAAAGTTACGCGTACGCTAAACCACGCCGAGAATGAAGCTCGGTCAAAATTCTGGTGCGCTATACGAGAAATCATTTTATCTCCGTGGAGAAGCAAAAAGATGCGATATTTTAATCATGAACAGACTTGAGAGAGGGAGAAAAGGAGAAGAGAGAAAGAGAGAGGGAAAGTCAAGAATGCATATTTCATATTCCTATGTAAATCGGATGTGTACGCGCGCGCGAACAACTCGGTCCGGCTGCATATCGACTCTCATACGCCGTTAATAGGATACGACATTATGAGAAGGATTAAATTATGGCTCGTCAAATCTCTGGCCTGGCCTCAATATTTAATCCGTAAACTCGCTTAATATCTTCCGGCCGGGCTCGGGTGGTACAGCGGGGGAGGAGAGGGCAGCAGATCCGACGTAATCATCCTGTTTTCCTCGACGTTACCGAAGATGATTTCATTTCGACCGAGCTGTACGCTTCGCGGACTTGCTATTTTGCTGAATTGTTTCCACGGCTGTGACATCGCGAATGCATGTTGCGGGCCACGAGTGTGCCAAGTCCACAATCTCCCGGCTTTATTTTAAATTCCGTACCTTAAATTGTACCCCGTACCTTTCCCGGTATTTACCCGAATACTTTTTAGCGTGCGCTTTTCCTGAGAATACAAAACGATATTACCGTTCACGATAAAACTTCGCAATAGTTTTAAACATAACATCCAGTTGATACAATTTCTATACTGCAATGTTAATAGCGCTCGATTTTCTCAAAAATTAACTCTTTGTCCCTCCTTTTTGATCGGTGTTTTCAGATAATTTGCATATAGTTAATGGATTCAGGCAAGCTGATACCGATAAATTGCAAGCTCTTTGATTTCTCCGCGCTTTGTAACAGCCAAATGTTAATAGCGCTGGATTTTCTAAAAAATTAACTCTTTCTGCCTCCTTTTTGATCAGTGTTTTCAGATAATTTGCACATAGTTAATGCTGCTATGAATTCAAATCTTTTGGCAAGCTGATGCCGATAAATCGCAAGCTCTTTGATTTCTTGGCGCTTTGTAACAGCCAAATGTCTCTATCATCCTTCCCTCGTTATCGTCAGACTATAATATTAGGTTGCGAGGCCTGTAATCAAAAGGCGAGCTGCGACGTGCAGAGTTGCCGGTCGACAGGTAGCATTTGCATTAAATACGCGTAATACGGAATATAAATGCTCATGGGATTTTAACCGAGCTGCTCCTAACTAACTCCCAACTCAGACAAGAGAACGTAAGGAACAATGCCGAGCGTTGAGATACGTTTTGGCGCGTGGCCACGCGATCCTGC